TCTCTTGCATATATACAAATACATATGTATAATATACATATATAATTCACATTTCTCTCACTCTTTTCCTCCTTTCTCTCCCAGTTTCGCTCACCTCTCTCTTCATATAACATGTAACTAAAAATTGTAATTATTAAACTATAGCTATGAAGAGTAATTAATTATTTTTAAATGGTTATATATAAAATTTTTAATAAATCTTAGTTATACAAATCCGCCCAAAAATACACTACGCACCAAGAGAAGCCCATTCTAAAAAGGCCCATTTTTCGCTAAATGAAGACCATGACTAAAAAAAACAGAAAGAAGAAAGAAGAATGCATCAACTTAATTTCATAATTTTATGAGCTAATTACAAAATTCTTATGAATAAATATGTATTTAAAAGAGGATATGAATGTATCTGAGGGGAAATTTTTGTAATTATTTAGAATGATGGAAAATTTTAAAAATTATAGTAAAATAAGATGTGTATTTATGTAATTTTTTCATCAAATTAAGCCTCAAACCTAAATAACTATACTAAACATTGTCATGGAAAATATTTCGCAGTTATTCCTGCATATCTTTTAATTGAATTTGTGAATAAAAATACGTGTTTTCATATGAAAATCAGAATTCTTTCCATTATTTCAGTGTGAATCTATTTCTTACTATGCATTCTCTAGTAAGCTTATTCAGTAAAAATTGAATGAAAAAATCATGCTTTATAACACAGAACTTATTATTGGTTCGTAACGGGAAATGCCTCTATCTAGTAGTGCAACGGGCATTATATTTAATAAAAATTAGGAAATTTGAATATTGGAATAGAACTTACCAAAGAAATGTGTTGAGTTGAAAATCAAACCTTCATCATCATATATTTAATATATAACTCTAACCATTAAGTTATATCTCGCAATTGCTTTAATTATATTTAAGTTTGATTATTATTATTAGCATACTAATTATACTTGACCTATATACTTGTGTGTTCCTCACTGTATTATTCCTCGGTCACTATTAAAAACTATATTATTATTTTTGTTAAAAAATAAAAATATCCATCGCATTTAAATTCAGTCTGCTAGTGGCTAAGTTACAAGAATAATTGTTATAAGAAAAAGTGATTTGACTAAAAAATAAATAGTGTCACATAAAATAATACGGAGAGCGTAATTAATTTTCTGCGGCATGCAGTTTCTTTTTACCTACTCATATTGAGTGCTTAGAAATGATGAGAGTCAGAAAAGAGGGGTTCAATTTCCCAAGAAGTCTCTCTAAATAATACTCAAAACACTATAATTATGACGAAATCTCATTAATGTTTCAATGGTTCACCTAATACCTGACATTCTTCCTCTTTAGTTATAATATTATCAAATTTTTAACATTAATATTTAAATATATTATGATATATATGTATTTTCAAAGATATAAGATCAAAATAGGTATAATTTATGCTAAATATATTATATTTATACGTATTTGAGATAGATAAATAAACTTTTGTTCTACTCCTTTTTAGTTATTAGTTATGATCTTATTCGCTATTTTCCTATAAATTAATTAACTATTTCAGTACATGTGAATCATATCGAATATACATACAGATATATATGTGATGTGTATTCAGTATGATTTCCATGTATATACATAACTATTTTCCTACCCTTCCCATTCACCTCTTTTACTATTTTAATGTATCATGATAAAATAAAAATAAAAAATCTAATTATCTTTTTAAATACATATTAGTGGTAAATACATCATTATATTTGAAAGTTATGTTGAATAAAACTTGCCAGAAATAAATATATCGTTTTTTTTTGTGTAAAATTAAACATTATAAGTTGGTTCGCTATCACTTGGATTTTATATAGTAAAAACGAAGATTACATTGGTCCCCCAAGGGATTTAGGTGATACTGACGTAATTTGAGATTAAATTATTTTTCTATCCCTGTTTAACATCATTGGATGTGAGGTGGGAAAATATTATTATTACTAAACATATAGTAATAAATTAACTTAACAAAGACATCTTCAATCAGGGCAGCTCGAAGTGATAGAAGGTCAAAAGCGAAATTTTAATTCATGCCTAAAATATGAATAAATTTTATATATGTATTTATTTAAAATTTATTTATTTTATACTATTTTTGATAAAAATTATTAGTATTTTAATATTATTTTTTGAATTATTAGTTTTAGCTAATTAAGATTTTGTCAACTCAACATTGAAATACATCCCTTCAGTGAGGTCATTAGTTTATGGATTGTTGACATAATTCTGTAGGTAATAAGTTAACAAATATTAAATAAAGATAAGAGTTAGAACCATAGAATTTGAAGCAAGAAGTTGATGACTTATATACCCCATTTTAATATGCCTCTAGTAATACTTGAAATTAAAATTTAAAAAGCAATAAAAAAAATTCGTAACTCACTTTGTTCAATACTTTTCACAGTTAAATTTTATTTTTAACAAAGTACAAGAAATGTTAAAGTGGGTAAAATAATATATTTTAAAAAAACATAATTTTTATCATAAATAATCAATTTTTCATATAGAAATTTTAACACATAATTTATTCTTGATGAAAAATTGGGGGCACCGAAATTTGGGGCCCAAAACAAAAGCCTTACTTTCAAAAACATAGAGCTGCCATGGACTAGCGGACTAGGTTCAACGGACTAGGTCTCATGACTCAGCAAGAACAATAATGAAGAGAAAATAACAACAAGAACACAACACAAGCAGTTTACGTGTAAATCTCCTTACTCAAGGGAGTAAAATCACGACCTGTCTCATTGGATTTTCAATTGTTTTCACTAATCTCTTCAAGCAAAAGCGAAACACAGTTACAATCAAGTAAGAAAAGTTATTAATCTCATAACTAAGTAATAACTCTATTACTTAACGAGCTTAGGCAGATACCACACTACCCACAAACTTATCATCACTAGACAATTACAATTTGACTAAGCAGTTACCACTCTCCCACTAAATCAACTAGCACTTAGGAGACTTAAAAATTTTGACCAAACAACAAATAATGTTGCCACTAAATCAGTTACCCTTAACTGATTTACACTTTTACAAATAAATACAAGGTCTGAATTCTTTATAGATTTGGAACAAATTTACAATATAAGTGCAAAAGTGTTAATCCTAAGACACCTAAACTTGCAGCTTTATGGGGTCGCTATTGTTCTTGAGGATGATTCTTCACTTCAGTGTTAGCCTTTACAAGGTTGAGAGTTTTTAAATTGCAAAAACTAAGATTGTGACTATTGGACATAATCTTTATGAAGAATAGTCATAACTTTCGAGATCATGTGATGATCGAGGTTTCTGCTACAGTTGGAGATTGTGCAACAACCAATTGTACTTTTTCATCCTGCCAGTTTTGTGTAAATTTGCACAAGAATCAGGTCTCTTTACAAGATTTCTAATTTGTTAAATTATCAAAACTACAATTAACATTGATACATGACAATTTTATGGATTAAAGACTTTGGAATAATCATTAAGTTATAGCGTAGTGTGTAAAAATTACAAATTTAGTCGCTTTGTAACTAGCTACTGATATTAAATTAGATATTATTGTTGTATCAACTTTAAGCATATGCGATTGAAGTTTAATTTTTTTTAAAAAAAATTATGAAGTTTGACCATAAACTTTCAACATTTTTGTTTGAAATGTAGCTTATCAAGATAACTTTTAACATTGTTGCTTAATGTTTGACTTGCCAAAACTAGGAGGGACTCAAACATACATTTAGTTTAAAGTCAAGATTGAACGCATGCCTTAAACTTTAAGACAAAGAAATATACTTTTATAAGTCTATTTTCCTAGTTTTTGAGATGCAAATTGGCTAATAACTTTTAATAATGAATTTTCTAATAATTCTTTTTTAATTAATGATATAATTAATTCATTTATTTATTTTTAGACATAAAATATTCTAAAGATATCAAACTTCTTCATTAGCTGTACAATAGTGTTCAACACTTTTTCTTAAAAAAGAAAAAGCTATAATATATTATTGATAAATAAAAAATGGACCTCCTCAAAAATTGAGGGCCTAAAGTATGTGTTTTTTCTTTTAGAAAACAAATTTTATAGAGTCGACACCGATAAAAATCAAACTTCGAACTTACTTTTTGAAGTTTGTACTATGAATTTCATCCTTGTAAAGATTTCCAAACTTAAAAACACCACTTGATTTATATACTCAATTTCTATATTTAAATTAAAAACCCATTTCTTTAAATTTGCAACAATGACTATTTTAATGTTGAAAACCCTAAATTGGTTAAGGGTCCAATTTGAAAATCAGGATACGTGAACGTGTGTTATCTTCATAAAATTAGATATTTTGAATCAATATAATATTATCTATTGACGTCTATCATACAAAAATATTATTCTACAAATCTTAGATTCGCAGATATCAAACATTGGATGTAAACTGATAAAGTTTTAAATATTTCAATCATGTCTTTTTTGTTTACGAGAATAATTCAAGTTTAGGTACGGTCAAAGGATATCTCAAGAATTTTGTGTTTGCAATGATGAAGCTAACGTAAAATTTGGAAAATTGTCTCGAATAAGACCAAGTTTGCAAATGAAATTCAATAGCCATTTGTAAAAGCAAGGAATAATTCACAATTTTCAATTCATACCGTACCTAAATACTTTAATTATTTCAAGTATTGGAAGGAGAGTAACGTAGTCGGCAGAGGAATATTTAACTATTTAAAGTATTTCAATTTTTGCAAATAATGACCAAAAGGAAAAATAAGTCCCAATTTAGAGACAAAAAAATGTTTACCTACACATGTTGTTGAAATACTTGGTCAATTCCCATGTTACTTTTGCTACTATAAATAGGCCCCCCTTCCCTTTTAACACTTCCCAACCATACATTTTATCTATATATCTTTTTATTTGTACTTCTTTCTCCTTTTTTGCCATTCATTTTCTCACTCAATATATGTATATGTGTTAAAGAGATCAACTATGAATGTTGTTCTTGTGGAAATGGCATGGGGAATCTATAAAGCTCAGGAGGGATAGCACCATGAATACATCTTAATGGCTATCTATAGCGCTATCCATCCTGAGTTTTATGGCTTCTTCATGCTCGCTTTTGGTGCTTCATGTTGATCTTTCGTACTAAATACGTTTGCTTTAGTTGGAAGAGCACAATATATGTGATGTCGTTGATTAGATAAGGTTAGACCTAAAAAGCTTGAAAGGAGATAAGGGGTGAAGACTTAGTTAGGCCCACGGATCCGGTTTAGGCTCTTGATGGGACCAGCTCGCGCTTGAGCCCGAGCCCGAACTAAGCCTCTTAAAACACACTTATTAAACCTATGCTTCCTAATGGGCTAGGCTTTCAGCCAGCCCGGCCCGGTTCACTAGGAGGTTATAATTGGTCATTGTTAGGTTAGCGATCATATTTTCCTATGCTCAGTTTAAATGCTTGCTCATTATTAATTATTTTATTTGTTCATTTTTATTTGTTTACTCTTTTAATTAATATAGATATAGATTTTAATTTTTAGTTATTTATTTTTAACATATTAAAAAAGTGACTACTTTTTTCTTTTTATGTTTTATCCTCTACAGTAATTATTTATTTTTTAGTTATTTTTAAAGTTTAATATTAAACATTATCTAATAGAAATAATATAGTAAAATAATTATGTTATTTATTAGTTTTTTTAAAAAAAAATGTCAAATTCAAATATAATAAATAAAAGAAATAATTTGAGAGATAAAATCAGGCATGAGAGATCAATAACAGAAGAAGTTGTTGATTTCTCAAAGCAATTATTGCTTGCAGAGGCTAAGTCAAATTAAACCAAATTGACTGTTCTCATATTATTCCTTTCCCGGGAGTCCATTTTCACCTTTGATTTGAAGAAATCGCCCATGAATAATAGGGCTTAGTGTGAATTAAATCACCAGTCGAGTAGTTCACTTTATTTGCAGACCTTCAGACTTTGTTCTGTAAAATAAATACGTGTATCTATATATTAATTTATTTGTGTTAGTTTTCTTAAAATTATTTATTAGATAAGTCATTTCTAATAATATGTTTTAACATGAAGAAACTATTATAAAAAGGGTAAATATATCAAACGATATTTAATTTATGTTTATTTTAAATAGATATCAAAAATCAAAATAAAGGAGGAATATGTAATATCTTAAAACACAAGTGTTATAGAGCAAAATCTGAATGGAGGTGTATGAAATTATCTCCAAATAAAAATAAACAAAAGGAGTATAGCTACATTGATCAAATCCCTCAATAAATGTTGATTTGGATGTATGTTATCTTTTAAAAATAGCCTACTTTTAAAAAATCGGAAAATCGGAGCTAACATAAATTATTTTGCAATATGTTTGTAAGACTATGAAAGGAGGTATATGATTAGCATGAGTGATTATTCTAATTCAGCATATAGTATTAATGTTATTATCTGATTACACAGACTGAAAAGTAAATACCAAATTTCAGACAGTATTTATTTGCTAGCTTTAATTTAAGGTGGTTATGGTTCCACGTTTTACTTTAAATGCTTCACTAAAATACAATGGCAAGTGGATGACAATATCAATGTGACATTAATATTTGGTTTTTGTTAGTTTTTCAAAAATAAGTTTTTAGAAAAACAATCGTAAGACATATATATATTCACATGTTAGAACTGTGAGCGAGAGTGAAGATTGTCAAATAAAAAACATGTATATATTCACACGACACTCACCTATTTGGTTTGTAGCTTTTTTTTCCTATGGGTAATAAAATTATTGTTGAAACAAATTGAGTATCAAATCAACAGGGTGAAATTAAAATTTTTAGTTGGTGGGCTTTTAATATTATAAATAGAAGCTTAGTGAATTTTTAATAAATTAATGTTTCACATTAAATAGATTTTTTAACACAAATATTGAGTTTAAGTAGTTAAAGATAACTATTATTTTGTCCAATTCAATTTTGAATACCAATAAAGGTGAGGTAAGAGTTTTGAGTTTATTTAGTTAGTAAATTTTACGATTTAGGAGTGAATTTCTAATAAATTAATTATACATATCAACTACAGTTTTTAAATATAATTAGGTGGTTAATTTTATCGTTTTATAGGTGAAGCTCTAATTTTGAATATCAACAAAGGTGAAATTAAAATATTAATTTTTTATTAGTTTTGGATATTAAATAATGCATCTCAATGGATTAAACTACTAAAAACTTTAAATTAAAGTTAACTATCAATTTTCATTAATTCATCATATCTTTGAAATACAGAAAACAAGACGGAAGAATTGATTTATAGTCGTGGCTGTTTATATAGAAAAAATTTTTCCCTAGTACTCAACTCAATCTTCTTAGTTGAATTGTAGATGTATTTGAAAGTAGATTTAAAGTAATTACTTACAAGTTTACATAAATCAATAATTTTTTTAGATTATGTATTTATATTTTAAAATGTTAATTTAATATATATAAAATATTATCGCAAATCCTAGTCATTGGTTAACAACTGTATTAACCTGAGATTATTGCACTAACAATATACCTATAGTTTATGCTGAGATTTATGTTAATCCATTTGTCTTCCCCTTTTTTATCCAATTGTTTATGAATTTCATCAAATTTTTGGCTAAGAACAGTTTAAAACTATACTCCCTGTATAAACTACACCAATGCAATCCATACTATTCTGATTATATATATGTATATAATATTTTATTGTTTGTTGGAAAAACATTCAAAAAAATATTTTTTTAGACCCTTGTTTGCTAATAAAAATAAATAAATGTTAGGACTGTGTGAGTTTATGGAAAGACATGATATATTCTTTTCCTTTATCAGTTAGATAAAGGTGGAGCTTAATTTTATACCAACTTCACCTTGTAAAGTATATACATCATTACTTTTGGGGTTAACTGATAGTGGAGGACTTCAAGTAATCAAGATTTAGCTAATTTTAATCTCTAGTACTCGAGTTTCGTTTTCATTATTAGAAGTAAAAGTCTTTGACCGACGCCACAGATTCAATAAGAAGAATCGACTGATAATTTTTTGATATAAAGTCAAATGAAAAGTAAATAAAAATAAAATTGCTAATTAAAAGGAAGACAATGCAAAACATTGTTTGTTAAAAGATTTTCACAATATTTAATTTTAGATGTATGTAGAATGGACAAAATAGATTATTTAGGGTGATTTTGGCCTCATTTGTTTTCACTAAGATTAAGAGGTCTAAATCCGAATACATATCTGAATATTAAGATTTGCGTTAATATCTGGGTGTTTATCTGAATATACATCTGAATATTAAGATGTGGTCCCTAATCTGAACACTAAATAATTAATGTCGTTTATTTTAAATATCTGAATGTGAAAGTAAAATTGAACATTATATTAATAAAATATTATAAAATTTTCATTCCCAACAAAATATATGACTTTTGATTAAAAAAAAGTTTTAAAATTTTGAATAATCATGATTTGGAGTACTATTTTTTCATTTAAAACCTTGATAAACAACAATACACCAAAAACATTGTTAGAATCAATGTTCTTGACACGCGTCAATATAAAAAAATTATTAATATAAAAAATATACTTGAAAGGATTTATAAAAACTAACATATTGGAAAAAATAGTGTTTGATTGAGAAAAGAGAGAAATAAAGTTTTTAGTTATGAGATAAAAAGGCACACTCAGAGCAGATAAACTATGATGTATTATTTAATAACTTATCAAATGAATATGAATGTTGTTAAGAGTCTCTTACAGATTTATTCGTTCAGACCTCTTTAGACCCACTAAGAGGTTCTTTTAAAAATAAAACAAATGAACTTAATGTGCTGAATCTGAATCAGATGACCTTCATTAAGTACAAACAAATGAGGCCTTTAAAGAGTTTTATTGAGAGTAGCGTGAACCGTAAGTGTTTTTTGTGAAGGAATTCATTAATTTTTGACAATTCCAACTTCATACAACTTTCTGCTTGCAAAATCTCAGTCAAGTCTACTTTGTAAAATCGAAACAGTTCATGATACTTTGAATCACATTATAAATAAACAAAGGATAATGAATTGAAACACTGTATTTTCCTAAATAATATCATTAAGAAAGGATGATACATCAAAATCAGAGCTGAACATAGACAAGTCTTCGATATTATCCTCTGGTTGCGTACTATTGCTTGCTCCAAAGTTATCTAATCCGAAACCACCCAAGTTTTGCTCCTTCCATATCCCATCTGATCGAATCTCGGAATCTGTCTCTGAATTCTGGAGGTCAATTTGCTGGTTGTATGCATATGTACAATCAAATTGCTCCGCATAGTTTAGCTTGAAATCAAACGATTCTTCTAAAAACCTCTGAAAATCGAAAGCTTCATCATGGTTCTCTGTCAAACAAAAGGTATCTAATACGTTTGTTGCTTCCATTGAACAATTATCATCCATTACACAATGCTCCATGTATTCTAGACGCGCACCAACATCTTCATTCACGTTTTTTGTGTTTGAGACATCGTTGAAGTTGAGGCATTGTACAAATTCATCTTCTTTCGTTAAAGGTGTCTCAACTTTAACACAAGAATTTTGAGATTTAGGTAAATATCTCTGAATTGCACTCCGAATCAATTAATTCATTTTTAGAGTTCTCCTCCATGATTACTTCCAAGTCCTCTTCATTCCAGGAACAAGCAGGCGAACCATGATTAACATAATCATAACTTAAATCTGTATTTGGTGTATCTGATGTTTTCAAATCCGACTCAATTTCATCATTCTTTGAACCATCAAGCACTAAATCTTCATGATCAACACACGATTGACCACTCAATTCAAGTGAAGATGTTCGAGTAATGCTACCATTACTCGAATAATTGGGGAAGTTGAGTGTGGCATTGGATCCATACATAACCTTTGCAGCTTCATCATAAGCGATAGCAGCCTCATCAGCACTATCAAAAGAACCTAGCCAAAGTCGCTTTCCTTTGCTTTTATTATCACCACTAATATAAGCAGGCTCGCGAATTTCAGCCACCCATTTACCCCAAGTCCTCTGCCTAACTCCTCTGTATTTACAACTCGAATTCTCAGGACCACCTTTGCCTTGCATACAACCTTTTCTTGATCCATTTTCTCTTCTTCTTCGATTGTTCAACGTTCAAATTAACCTCTTGGTTAAAATTTCTCCATTTTAACAAAATCTCTTGTGTCGAATTCGATCCAGTACACTTTCTTTTCAGTTTCCTATTAACACAAAAATTTATGGTCATATAAATAGTTTATGACTTGAAACAATTTTATAAAAAGTAGATAAAAATATAGCGTGCTAAATCAGAAAATAGCACACAATAAATTCAAAAATATTGAGTAACTACTACAAAGTTGGCAGTTGTTTGTATTTATTTAATTTAAAATTTATAAGAAGTAGATAAAAAGGAGAAAATATGAGAGAAGAAAATCACCTTTGTGGAATGTGAGCAGACATGAAAAGTATAAATTATAATTTATAATTCATAAATAAATAAACTTTGATTGGAAGTTTTGTTTTTTGGTTTGGCCAATGATCTGTGGTATATTTATATGAGATGAAAATGTTTGAAATATTTTTCCTATTCAAATTGGGATCCACTTTTGAGGAAATGAATAAATGTACAAATAATGTAGTGGCAATTACATTAAAATGTTAATATTAGTGGGATCATAAAATATTATAATTTTGTAAGTGTATTATTTAATTCAATTAATTAATATTTATTAATTTAAAGAATTTTTAGAAATTTAATGAAAATTCATTTTTTATAATATTAAAATCATTGTATCTTATTAATTTAGATATCATATTTATTGAATTCACAAAAAAATAAATTCATTATACATAAAGTACTTTGTGTAATTCTTTTTTGTTAAATCATTCATTGTAAAATAAATTCAAGAATTTAATGATTCATTTTAAAAATAAATTTATTACACATAATGTTTATTGATTCTTAATAATTAAATATTATTTATTATATCTTTACTAAAAACATTCGATACATAATGATGAGAGCATAAACTATATGTTAACATAGAAAATTTCTTAAAATCATATCCCAAAATAACTTTTCATTTAAAGAATATTACAAAATCAATAATAACATATCAAATACTCTGAGTACAATTATTACTTCTTTTTTTAATTTTTATTTTTTATATTCTTTATAAACAAAATGAATTACCGCCCCTAGCCACACAAATTTATAGAGCTTATTTATATGGTTAATCTAAAAACAAAAAATTCTTGGTGACCATGAATTTTTTGTTTTCCGACTCTTTCCAGTACTATAGAGATCTTTCATATTGTACATCACAACTTTTGGGAGTTAAAAAAAAAGGTAGTTTACAATATACTCACGCTTCAAGGAAAAACATATTAAAACAAATATCAAAGAAAACATGACATAACATTCTAGAGAAAAAAGAAGGAAAAATAACTATAATAAAATAGTACGATAATTGAAGTATAAAAAGATAGTAGAATTTTGACAAAAATTGGAGGACAAGAAACCATAGGAGAAATTTTATGACTACTGACAAGATAAGAATGAACAAATAATGTTCTACTACCTACTAACTATAACCTTCTATTCTAGTTTGTATCTTCCACAGTAAGTTGCAACTGTGTCATCTTATCTGATCACCTCTCTTCAATGCTTATTCGACTTGCCTTTACCTTTCCTGAAATCATTCATAGCTAACATCTCACACCACTGCACTGCACTAGAGTATTCATGCATCTCCTCTTCACATGTCTGAACCATCTAAACCTTATTTTCCACATCTTGTCATGAATGTCTTTATTTATAATTTATTTCTACTAGTTGCCCACACATTCACCGAATCATCCTCAACTTTGCAAACTTTATTGTCTAAACGTGAGAGTTTTTATTAACCGAGTCTCAAATCGAAAGTCGGAAGTTAGGTTGGATCTTGAGTCAGGATTGAGTCCCTCTATGAAAGTTAGGTGTCAGGTTTTGGGTCTTGGTCTGAAAGTCATGTCCTAATTCAGATGTCAAAGTCTCAATTTAAGTATCCATTCTTAGATTAGGGAGTCAAAAGTAGGTTTTTGAATTAAGTATTGGAGTTGGATCCTAACGGGTCATTGAGGTCATGTCTAGATTTGAATTTTGGATTTAGGGTCAATTGTCATGATTTGATCTCAATTCAGAAGTCGAAACCCGAGTTGAGATGTTAAGCTTTGGCTGGGATCATTCATCAAGGTCAGGTCTTAGGGTCGGATCCCAGATTAGGTCTCAGTTCAATTATCGAGGTTGTATTCAAGTTTAGGTGTCACAGTTGGAGTTGAGTCCCAAATTTGAATGTGAGGTCCCAAACATGAACCGGGATCAGGTCCTGGGTCGGATCCCAAAGAAGTCGTTAGGGTCGTGCCCGTGTCGGGGTCAAAGTAAAGTCCTTGTTCGTATATCTGGTTCCATGTTGAGAATCGAGATCACGTCCCTGATCAAGTGCCGGGTTAGATCCCAAATCGGTCATCAAGATCGTGTCCTGGTTCGAGTGTTGGGATCGGGTCCTGAATCGGTCATTGAGGTTGGTTTGCGGGTCATTAACTACTTTTCTAAAAGTTATTTTCCACTCTCCGGCCAAAAATATTTTCTTCATTCACCAACCCAACATTAAACAATATTTTTCAATTATCAACCAAACACGAGACAGTCAAATTGTTTTACGAGACCATTATAAACTTTCTATCTCTATTGTAGCATACTAAAATTACAACAGTATGAGAAGGAGAATGAATTTAAACATTATTTATTCCTAATTAATATCATTTATATAGGATGATACATCAAAATCAAAGCTGCACATAGACAAATCTTCGATATTATCCTTTGGTTGCCAACTATTGCTTGCTCCAAAATCATCTAATCCGAAACCACGCAAGTTTTGCTCCTTCCAAATTCCATCTGATCGAATCTCGGAATTCGTCTCTGAGTTCTGGAGGTCAATTGGTTGTATACATATTTATTAGGGGGTACAAAATCGAACCAACCGTCCTTGGATCAAGGCTCTCACTTGCTCAAGACGTCGATGCAAATCAAATTGCAAATTGAGTTAAACAGAAAAAAAACCCCGACTAGTGATTTGGTTTGGGTTTGGTGTTGGAAAAAAAACCTGACCATATTTGGATTGATTTGGTTTGAACAAAAAAAAAATCAACCCAAGACCAAACCAACCCGATATTGTATATATAATTTTAAAATTTTATTTTATACGTAAAACTATTTATTTTGATATAATTTTTAAATTTCTCTTGTACTTTTTCATAGTTTTTGTCCTTTAAGATATTTATTTCATGTTTGAAAGTTAGAATTTTTAATGATCTAATAAAAATTATAGTTCAATACTTGTTGGTAATTATAATAAAGTTTAAATAAAAATCAAATTAATACTAATGCAAAAAGAATATATTCAACACTAAGAATGACAATAATATTGAGTATTTTAGTTTTAGTTTTACATAGATTTAGACAATTAAAATATATGTTCTAATTTTACTTTCTTTTTATATTTAGTCATGTAATTAATATCTACTAAACTTCTTTTAGCATGATTTAATACTTTAAATTATGATCAATTTCATTGTGACTTATTAATGCGCAATGTTTGTTTTACGTGATTTCATTATTTTTTTGGTGGATATTTTAGTATCATTAATCATATTATATTTTGTTTATTTTCTTGAGAAATAACTTAGATAGTTGTATTTTGGTTGGAGTAAAGAAATATTTGAAGTACAAGTAGATTATATGTTAGTATGAATACTTTACCAAGAAAATCTAAAAATTCAATTTTTTTTGAAAAATACGAAAAAATCCAAAGTTGAATAATCCGAGTTTTATTGATTTGGTTTGGTCTGTGAATTCAAAAATCCAACACAAATAGTTTGATTTGATATTTCAAAAAATCTGAACCAACTCAATCATGTCCACCCCTAAAATTTTACGATCAAATTGCTCCTCATTCCTCCCATAGTTTAGGAAAAAATCTCTAATTGCACTCCAAATTCTAAATACTGAGTACTACTACAGTTATTTCTAATTTATTTAATTTAAAAATTATAAAAAGTAGATAGAAAAGAGAAAATTAAAGAAAAGAAATCACCTTTGTGGAATGTGAGAAGACATATCAAATACTATATCCGTTTAAAAAAGAATGAACTGCTTTCTTTTTAAATATGTTTTAGAAGGAATAATCTTTTTTTTAAAGTGATATTTTAGTTTTAATTTTTCACTTGACATATTTAATGCCACATGATTAAAAATTCTTTTTGTACATTTTATATAACTGTAACTTAGAATCATAAGATTTGAAAGTATTTTTTATTTTTAAAAATTTTATGTCAAGTCAAATCATATCATTTTTTTTAAACAGTAAATATTTAACTTATAACTGATAAATAAATAAATGGAAGGTTTGCATTTTGTTTTGGCCAATGATACTTCCTTATATAATTGTGTTTATTTTGTTAAATCTTTTTCTAGTCGAATTGGGATTGGGATTCATTTTTTTTTGGTAGTAGCGTGTGTTGATGGTGTGAATTACTTAATTGTATTTACTATTCTTATCTAACTAACCAATTAATTAAGGGTTTTTTCTTGGGGACTAACTATTAACAACGAAATGTAATGCCAAGTTTATCACTTTTGATTATAGGTTTTGATTTCAATACTCCTTCGTTTTAAAAAGAATGGTATGATTTAATCATTTGGAGTGGAGTTTAAGAAAAAAAATAAGATTTTTTTAATTTTGTGGTTCTAAATTAAAGTTATATCAAATATACCAAAGTGTCCTTTAATTTTGTAGTATTAAACATGCCACGTGAAAAGTTAAAATTAAATTGTTATAAAAAAAATAAATAGAAATATTCTCTTTGAAACAGAGGGAGTGTTTGAAAATTATAAATAAATTTTGATCATAATATTAGTTCTAAAACTTATTAAAATGCAATACTACTCCTATCCCACCAAGTTAGTTGGCTCATTTTTTTTAGGGTTTCCGAAAAACAGGTCATATTTCTATATAATTAGAAGAAATAACTTAAGTATAAAATTATCTTTTATTCTTTATAAGATTTTTATAACGGCCGCCTCTATAAAATTCTCTTTCAGTTTGTACACCACAATTTTTGCGGCTATTTGTTTCTTGTGCGCAAAGAAAGATTAATCTAAGGCAATGCCAAAAGTCACATATTTTATGTGTAACTTTACACGCACAGTTGAAAATAGGAAAAGT